ATACAACAGAAAAACTAAGAGATTATATCCTTAAACTTATTTTTATGGGAAAGATTATTTCAGAACAGTTTTAATTTTCCTGAATTTGATGTCTCATTCTCTTAAAGCAGTTGCATTCAGCAGGCTTTCGGGGTTATGCGTTTGTTTCTTTAACATTATATACATCTTTTGTCCAAGATTTTCCAGCTGACATCCATGCCAACTTCTACAACTGATTTGATGCGTCGAAGGGAGAAAGCCAATGCATTCTGTGAGGCTATCCGTGCTCTGGATGCTGCAGGTTCGTTCTTTGAAAAGTTGTCACTTCTACTTTCATCTCTCTTCTGAGGGTAATTTTTTTTCTCAAGTCAAACTTTTCTAGTGCAACAGTGCTGTTCGGTTCCTCTTAAAAAATTCATGAGCCCACCACCAAACAAAAAAGATGAAAAAAAATGTTTGTCCATCAGTCATCTAGTTGACTGTACAGTTCCTCCTGTGTCATCTAATTTTTCAATATGGTGGGCAAATCCACTGCTCATACTCTAGCATTCGCCCTTGAGGAAGGAATTTATTGGCTCAACTTCCTTTTGTTCAATATAATGTATTAAATGACAATTTTTGAAATTTACAATCCTGATTCCCTTATTTCAAGTTCCTATGTCATATAACATGTTTCCATTTCACTTTATTTTTTTCGTTCATCCAATTTGTTGTTAATCCTTCAAAATGCAGCCATTCCCTAAATAATGACATGCCCTTGTAAAGTCCAATTTCATGCACTATTGATTATTTTAAGAAGCATGCCTTATAAGGATGCTTCAATGGGCAATGAATATAATTTTCATGCAATCATCGTTGAATAATATTTATCGTTTTAATTTTAAAGCAGGGAGGGATAAATAGGTCATTTTTGTTCTCAAAATTTGAATTTTTTTCCTTTCTTATAATTTCGTTTGTTCTTTATTTTCTCATGGAAACTTGATATTTTGCTGATGTGGTAGGATATCTTTCTTCCCCAACATATTTCTAATCACTCACTGTCTCCTGCAGATCTTCCTGTGGCTAGTGTCCGAGACTTCCTCCTCCCTGCCATTCAGAACCTGTTAAAGGATTTGGATGCATTGGATCCAGCACATAAAGAAGCCCTTGAAATAATTTTGAAGGAAAGATCGGGGGGAGCTTTTGACACTATAAGTAAGGTGATGGGTGCTCATATTGGACTTTCATCCGGACTTTCATCAGTGAGCAGCTTCTTTGGTGAGGGTGGATTACTTGGAAAGAAAGAAACTACAGAAGCAGCTACAGAAGCCCCTCCATCTCCACGGGCAGTCCCAACCACGGCCGCAGCGGTGGCAGCAGTCGAGGACACTAGATTCAGGCGCATCATGCTGGGAAACTTTGGGGATATGCTCCGTGGCAAAGGCAAAACCCTGGACGATTCTCAGCCCCAATAGGATTCATTTCTGCATCATAATTTCTGCCCATTCATTTACTCAAGGTGACGGTAGATACTTTCCCTTGTCAAAACTTCTTTCTGGAAACCCGAGCAGCATTATTTTTTTAATTCGTTATTCCTTATGTAGTTATTCTTCTTATAGGGTAGATAAATAGAAAGACATTAAACGAAAGGAAGAGAGAGAAAAAAGGTATTCAAATTTTGTTTTTGCCTTGGATATGTCGTAGTAGTTGTGTGAGTTACAAAGGACGCAGGAGATGAGCGGAACGGAGGGTGAAATCTGTACATGGATAACATGGATGCGCTTGATCTTTATTATATTTGCTGTAGTCTTTCACGTCTTATAAATTTATTAAATATAAGACCTATTTTATAGTGCAATTTGTGTTACAAAATAGGTTTTATATTTAGAATTAAAAGAATAACATTTTTCTTTTCTCCATGTTTGTTAGCGTGGGATGTGTAACTCCTTCATGATCTTAAATATACATACCTGTATATATATATACACACACATATATACTTATTTATTCATACCTTAGAATTTATGAAGAAAAATAATCTTTTAGACAGTAGTTTTGACTTGTTGTAATTGAATCCTTGAACTTTTAACTTTATTGTAACTTAGTTTCTGTAATTTTAATTATTCAAAACTTTAGTTCCTAAATTTTATTAAATATATAATCTTATTTTTTAAAATATAGGAATTAAAGTTATAGATGGTTAAAACTATAAAGATTGAGTTGTGGTGAACTAAAGTTTAGAAGTACAAAATTAGAGTTATGGACATTAAGGGCCTATTTGGTAACATTTCAAACTATGGTTTAGGGACCTAAATCATGGTTTGGGTTAAAAAAGTTGCCAACAGGGGACAAAATTAATAAACCATGGTTTGGGACCAAAACCATGGTTTTAGAAAAAATAAATCCATTTAGCTTCTGACTCAAATTAAAGAGTATGATTATACCTGTTAGAATAGATCTTAACGATAATATGACTTTAATATCTCAATTAATTTTTTATAAACATATTTAATATTATGTTTTATAAATATATTAATTATTTATTAATGACGTTATCTTATATGTCATTAATTATGTTGGTAAAAGAATATATTAACAATTTTATTCTTTTAAATTAAAATATATTATAAAATTTATCTTTTATGTAATTATCATATTAATTTATGTTTTTTTAGTAATTAGCACATATAAAAGTGCTTTTGATAACAGTTATCGGAACACTTTTATTTTATTAGAATCATTTCTTCACAAAATCTTTTTTTCTAAGAATCTATTTTCTAAAAACTATTCCCCAAACTATGGTTTGGTTTTCTCCAAACACCCCTAAGTTACAGTACACTGTAGGAATCAAAAGTTTAATTTTCCTATTTATGAATTATCTGTTCATGTCTTAAATTTCGTATAGCCTTGATCTTGAATCATAATTCAATAGACAATAATAATACTACCTCCGGTCCTTATTATAAGACTCTGTTTGACTTTTATTTTGATCCTAAATATAAGACCCCAACCCACTTTGTCTCATATTTATACATTTTTTTTTCAAAGTAACCCTTCTAATAATAAGAGTTTTAGTCAATACACTTGATTAGCAAGGATGTTTTAGAAAAGACAACATCTATTTAGAACAAATAACTAACTTAACTTACTTCTTTAATCTTTTTAAATTAGTCAACTGGCTCTTGTAATTAGGACCGGAGGTAGTATTAATACTAATGGTTCGGTTAAGCATTAACGTGACCAAATGATGCTGCAAATGGAGTTGGGAATTATTTTATCCATAAAATAAGAGTACAAGCGATATGGAAATAAAGTAGAAGAACTTGTGGTACAATTTGCGCACATAATTTTCTGCTTCAAATTTTTTTTGCAGACATTGTCTGGGGAAATTAATTATTTAATCACTATGTGAGAATTTTAAGGCTTTGCATCCACATAAGATGATCATATGTGGTGAGAAGCATATTGATTATCTGGATCATGAATTTGTCCGGGAGAAATACACAGTTGTTGAAAGATATTTTAAGGGAATATAAATTGCACTTAGATTAGGATTGAAATTTTTTTTTAACCGAGTTGAATCCAAAACTATTATTTTTTCCTGAATAAAATAATATACTCGATAAATTTTTATAAATGATGAAAAGTTTATGGAAAAGTACATAAAAAATTGTATCCTTCATCCGTTTCTATTCGTAAGACAAAATTCTATACCGATTAAACTAATTAACTAATTCATGTGTCAATAAACCTACTTTTATTTTTCTTAGTTCCACACTTATTCAATGCTCACTTTATTTGCTAACATTTAATGGGGGGGGGGGGAGATAACATTTGTAACAAATCATGTATACATTATATACTGGGAAAAAAATATTAAATATTAAATATTTTTTCAAATTTTGTAATTTGTCTTATAAATAGATACAAATGAATCTAATTTATAATGCATAGGCCTTATGACTTTGACCCACAGGTCATTTTTATATGGCTAATCGGACTTGTTTGAGGGCGAGTTTCAAAATATTTTTAATAATTATCTAGTTGATGATCCAGAACTGATATGCACTTCTTTGGTTCTATTCCAATTTGACTTTTTCATTCTAGGGAAACCCAGAACGCCAAAGGTAGCTAACTCACTCAACTCACCGTAGAAGCCAGTAAGGCAAATGTTCAACTGCACAATTCCAAAATATGACGGACTATGGAGCACTAGGATCCGATTTTTCCCTCCAGATTCCCAAGACCCCTATGAATTAGAGACACAGTACTTCATCAAGATTATCCTTTTAATTATACTCAGAAAATGGCAGAACAGATTTTGAATGAGTCAAAGGAATTTGAATACAAGCTCTGGGCTAAGAAAAAGGAAAGAAAAGACTGTTTTGCAATCTCCCATATAACTAGGAACCTATCTACAAGTACAGGCAGTGAAGGAACATGCTTTACAAAAGTTCAAACTACTTTCTCAAAGTATCTAGTTTTGTGTCACACTCATCTGGTATCATAATATCTTGCTTCATGCCATGTCTTACTTTAGTTAAAAAAATTAAATAGGTGTAAAATTTGGAAGAAAACATGACCAACATTTGAAGATCCATGTGAATTTCAAATTTTGCAATAATGTTCAGGAGATCTTCAAGAATCGCTATTGATGGTTCTTGAAGCTGATTATAGGTATACATAGAATCACCTTGAAAGATATTTCCTCTAAAAATTTTTGACCATGTCCCTCGTTTTCTTGAGCATATATATATATTTCCTTATGTTTGGTTTCCAAGGGTGGATACCATTTAAGGCGGCACAGTTGCCACGACACTGAAGGCAACACAGGTGTCAGTGTCAGCTAATTGCTTCACTCAAACCCATCTCTGCATCCCCATGTGGGGGACTTTAATTACTCCTCCATTACTTTCACTTACCCCCCAAAACCCAACTAAACCAAACCCATTCCTCTTCTATAAATTGCTTCTCACTTCCCTACCCTCAAATCACACAACAACTAAATCAGTCTCTCAGACTAAGACCATCAAGAATCAATAATGATGATGAAGGAGAAGAAGGTTTCTGCAGCTGTGGCTGTGTTGGCCATTGTGATGCTTCTTCTTGTTGAGGCTCCCAAGCCACACATGGGTCAGGGCGTCTCTTGCAGCCCTCTTGAGTTGAGCTCTTGCCTTGGCTCCATCACTTCATCTTCTCCACCTTCAACCACTTGCTGCCAGAAGGTAACTAACCTATGCCGCAGTAAACAGAATCATGCATCTTTCTCATCAAATTACTACTAGCTTAGCTTTTAATGTAAGAGTTAGTTAGGAGTTGAATTAGTCCTATATATAAAACTTCAATCAATTTTAGCTCCCACGTTTTTTTCACCAAAATATCCCCGGATAATTCCAATACACATGATTAAAGTAGTTTAAAGAAGCAATTAACCAATTTAACTAATTGTCTTAATCTCTTTAAATTAGTTCTCATTGTCACTTAATCTTTAGTGGATGCAAGTGTGTTTTTGTAAATGATCTGCAAGTTTGTGTGTTGATTTTGGTTCAGGTGAGGGAGCAGAGGCCATGTCTGTGTCAATACCTGCAAAATCCAAGTCTGAGGCAATATGTGAACAGTCCAGGCGCCAGAAGGGTTGCTACTTCCTGTGGAGTTCCATATCCAACTTGTTAATTAGCTTTCATTTTAATTATATTTGTGTATTAATGCAAGCATATAGTACTGTTATACTTGCAGCCTGCAATTTATTAGTGTATTAATTAGGTGGGGTATGTGTATTAATGCTCCATGCATGAGTAATTGATCCTGTTCAACTGAAATAGGTACTGATCTGTGGTGATATGGGAGCAGTGAAAATTTATATCATGAGGGGCATGCACATGTGGCTCTGTTCTGTATTATGATTAATAGATGGATAGAAATATATATTGTTAATCACAGAGTATTATACATATTCGACTGTCACTTTTATTTCTTTTAACATTAATTAATATTGTTCAAATTAAATTGGAAAAGACCCATGCTCTATAATTCACCTTCATTTTCAATTTAGTCCTTTCAGCTTATTTCTTGTTTTTTCTCCACCAATCGCCATTATCGATTTCAATCGGTATGATCTTAATCCTATACTTTGTAAATGTTTACAATACAGTCCCTAACACAGTAAAAGGAGAAAGGGAAAAAAAAACTTTTATTAGAATATAATTAGTAAGTTGATGTTGATCCTATATATAAGACATTTTTCACATGTTTATTAATTTTTTTTCTAAATTAACCTTATTGATATTCTTTTAACAATAATTAAATAAGAGAAGAAAAGAGAAAACCAAAAAAATTATTGAGAATAATTTAGAAAAATTATATCATATTAATTAATTTAATTAATATATTTAATCTATCCAAACTGAAAAAAGAGACTGACATGGTGCTTAAATGAATGGCACAACTAATCTGACATGATGACTTCAAATGTCTCTTTCTTTGATTATGGCGATCATTTCTTTTGCGCATCTCTAGTTGTTCCCTTGTTATTTCTACTTTATAATACTCTCATTTTTTTTTTAAGTTTTACTTTCATTTTCTTTCTTCTCACCAATCTCTAATTTCTTTATTCTACTCAATTTACTCATTTATAGGAAAATCTTTGATTAGATTGAAAAATTTGTATTCTCTTAATTTATCTAATTATATTATGTTTTAAAGAAGATATTATAATAATGAACTTGTTCGATCTCAAAAAAAAAAAAATACATATTTGAGATTTAACATAATATTAATATGAAATTTAGTTATTTAAAATTAAAAGTTATGATTGGAGTTAAATAGGAAAATGATAGAAAATGAATGTTGAAAAAATTTCAGTTTAAGTCTTGTAACGAAATTAACAATTCTATTAACAACTTTCATAACGCCATTGATAATATGATCCAAAAGTCTTTTATACTTTGAGAGATTAGTCATGGTATAATAAACAAATTTTTTTTCAAGTTCTGCAGTGCGGTTAATAAGTTTAGTACCATCATTAACAATAAATTTTTTATGAAATTCAAAAAATGACATTTTTATAACTTCATTGATACTGTTAACAATTTATGTTATGATATTAACAACTCTCATGATGTCGGAGCTTTGGTGATGGATCATCAAAGTTCAGATAACTAGCTGCGCACTAAACTCCGGCATTAGCTACCAGTGTCAGAGCTCTAGCAGCTGGCTAGGTAATGAGGGGGACCTAAGATTGTTTTTAAAAAATTTACAAGGCTAATATGGTTATTTTATCAAATTATAAAACTCCCCATTCGATCACGCGTGTCTAAAAGGGAATTTCTCTTATTCAAGTGACTACTTGAAGATTTTCAAATTCAACTATCATTGTTCCTTTAAATATGTGAGAATTATCATCATTTGAAGTAAATTTTACTTTCCTAGTACGTTGTACAACATACGGGAAGCCTACCAATTTTGATGTGCAACTTTTCAACAGTGCCGACTCCCTTATTTTTTTTGGCGATTAGTTTGTTACATGGAAAATGTTAGATCAGTGAACTTGTATTGTATTCTAAGTTTTTTTTTTTTTTTATGGATACTTTCTATGTCTGTTCTTCAGAACAGTACTTACAACATCACCAATACCTACGTTTTATAAAGGAAAAACTAATTTAAGTGTCCTTATAGTTCCATTCAATTTCAATTGAGTCTTTTAAGTTTGTGCCGTTAACTCTGTTAGTCCGTCCTCTTTAATAGAGACTAACAATTTTAATTGATTCCAAATCCTGGCCCTCCTCTTCGATCGTTGGTACTGCAAAAATTGTTTTCTAATTTTCTTTTTCATGAAAATGCTTTGAGCATCCTAGTTGTCTAAATAATTCAATCATTTGCTACATCAGCGGTTAGTCTCTATTTAACGGATTTAAAGAAGAGAGACTAATGGAGTTGACGGCACAGACTTAAAGAATCCAATAAAAAAAAAAACTTAAGGACCTAATTCAAAATTAAATGAAACTGTAAGGACATTCAAATTAGTTTTTTTTTTTTTAAGTGGCTGTAAAGAGGTTTTTAGAGCTGATATAAAAAGTATCTACCAGAAATTACATGTTTAATCTTGTTTAAAATCTTAAATTATTAGTACTTGTCATTTTAAATAATAATACTATCTCCAATCCTTAATATAAAAATTATTTTGTACTTTTCAAAGTAGTCATTGTAGTAGTTGCACATGTTAAACGTTCCATTCAATAATAGTTCTAACTAATCCACATGATTAATAATAATATTTTATGAAAGATAACACATATTTATTACAAATAATTAATACACATATTTATTACAAATAACTAACTTAACATACTTTCTTGATTTATTCAAATTAGTCAACTAACTCTTATAGTAAGTACCGAAAATAGTAATAAAGAAAGAGCTCATGAGTCATGCCATTATGATGTGCATGTGAATCGACCGGCAAGGGAGTAAATTACAAATGCTCATTAAAATTATATGGATTAATTCTTCGGATTTACATTGGGTGCTGATGAGCACCCAATGCTCATCAGATCTGGACAGTCCAGATTTATTTTTATTTTTTAAAAATAATTATTTTAATAGGTATAGGATAAAAAATAAAAATAATCTCTTAACTATCATTCTTTAAAAATATAATTTTTCCTATTTTAAAATAATTATTTAATAATATTAAATCTAAACCATCCAGATCTAATCTGGACGGTCCAGATTGCTCATCAGGTGATGAGCATAGTGCTCATCACTTAATGAGCACCGAATGGGGACCCTTAATTCTTCAACCAATAAAAACTACAGGCATAAGAATTTTTTCTTTTGGAGATAAAGGCAAAATGATACTACCTCTGATTCTAATTAAAAGACCTCGTTTGTATACTACCTCCAGTTATAATTATAAGACCTGATCGTTTGTAGACTATAAATGAGGTCTTATAATTATGATTGGATGTAGTATTAAATAACACTAATGAAGTTACAAAGGAGCAGATACAGGCATAAGAAATATAAAGGATAGAAAGAGAAACAATTTGGCATTTGTTTATTTATGGATAATATAGTTTAAGAGGAGGAGAATAATTTTGATTAATGTATATGTTTGGCCAGTTGTACAGACAAATGTGAGAAAATTTTTCTTTGATAAAAGGATTATTTAATTCAATCTAAGTAAAACGATTAAATAAAAAAAACCCGTAGTCGTATATTGAGTCAATTTGAATACGTATGTGTTGGGAGTTGTATTTACAAATATGGATACACATGTGCATACTTGTGTGCCCACGTAAAATTATACACATGTACCCGTGAACAGGGATACATCCCCTATCTTCCACATATAAATGCTTAGCTTGTAAATATTTTTTTATATTAATTTCTGTCATTCATATAATAAATAAATGAATAATTTGTAAATGTTAAAAAATTAGTTAAATTAATTATTTATAATAAATCCATGTGTTATCTTAAAATATTCTTATTAATTATGTATATTAGAACTATTTTTTTTATAGAAACTTCTTAATATACGTAATTACTGTAGGAATTACTTAGGAGCTAAATAGAAAATATGAAAAATAAAGTGAATTAAAGTTGTATATTTATGATCAAATTAAATTTACAAATACTAAAAAAAAGTTTTATCTCAACAAGAACATGAAACGATACATGACAACACATACTTGGACTTTTTAGAGAGAATGACATTGAAGTCCCACAGAAGCCAAAATACAGCAAAAAGGTCCTCTGAAATGTCATAATTTTTCTGAAGTCCCAAAGGGACTTAGAAGCAATTTTCAGAATCTACAAATTACTCTCTTGCCCTGCCCTAAGCCATCAGAAACGAAGACGCAAAATTTCATTTGGGTGAGAGTTCCCACGCAATATGCTTGAGAAAGAAGACATTGGGAAAGAGGGAAGGAGCCATTGATGATGAAATATCCTCTCTATTACCATTAGTGAACTCCAAAGAGCTTCCATGTGAATCTCCACAAATTTTCATGTGTGAAACTTTCTTTCCTCTTCTCTCCTACCTTTCTTGACAGACTGTGCTTTTGTTTGGAAATGGGAAATCAAAAAATCATTTTTGTGTTTTTGGGTTGCTTGTGGGTGGTTTTGGGAATGGGATTCATAAGTTAATCAATAGAAAAGCTGTGTTTTTGGTTGGTGTGTGTTGGTGATTTAAGTTGGGTGTGTAGGATGATCATGGGTGCTCTGTTTTTGGGTTGCTTGTGGGTGGTTTTGCTCTGTTCTAATGCTAGTTCAATGGCAAAGGAAGAAAAAGATGAAGGTTACTGTGGGTGGAAACCTTTAGTACGAAATGGGATATTGTGTTGTCAATCAGGCCGCAATAGTTGTCAACGCGTGCCGCGACAGTTGTCAATGACAGTTGCGTGATTCTTGATGCAGGTTTAAATTACTGATGGCGGGTACATCTAGAAAGCATCTATTTTGCTTTGTTCACATAGGTGGAAAATTTATAAATGATAGAGAAGATGATATGAGATATGTGGGAGGTAGTGTAAGAACAACAAATATAAAAGAAGGCACAAGTTATGAAGAATTGAAGGAGATTATATCATCATTTACTGGAAAAGAAACTAACTCATTTCTTTTGAAATTCTCAGTTGTGTTTGATAAAAAAAACTTTTGTGGAGTTGGTAGATGATGATGGGGTAGAACATTTGATAAAGTTCAATGAAGAAAGCGGTCATATGTATGTAGAAGAGACTGGAAATAAGGACTACACAGAAGCAACAAGGGATAATACAATGGAGGAGCAAGATGTGTAAGTTTAGTTTAACAAATCTGTTATTGCCATTTCTTGGTATGTCAGTTGTTACTGTCTTGCTATCAACTTGTCAATGCATGCACCCTGACTTGTCATTTCCTGCAGGATTGATCAATCATTTCGAGGTGTCAATGAATTGTCTGTGTCTCCACCTACCTCATTTGATGTGATTGGAGAGCCATCATCAATTTCTTGTGCTGTTGAAATGATCCCAACACCTACACCACAAATGAATTCCACAAAATGGAAGGATTTGATTATTGGAGAAGGACAAATATTTCCAAATGCCACTGCTCTTCAAGAAACATTATACAAGTACAACCTATCCCAGAAGTTTTCATACCTTTTTATTAAGAATAATCAGCAAAAGATCATTGTGAAGTGCAAGGTTGATGGTTGTCCATGGTATGTGGGTGCATATTCAATGGGAGCACATCAAGATACTAAGTTTTTAACTATCAGAACATACAAAAGTGAACACATTCATCATGCACAGGACAACTTAATTGTCTCTCACTCAGGAAGGTCAAATTTAGCTGCTTCAATTGTGATTGATGACTTGAGGTGCAATGTTGACAAGAGTCCTAATGAAATTAGAAAGGACTTGTATAAATAATATGGAGTGCAATTGAACTATACTCAAGCATATAGAGTCAGGAAGAGAGCACTATCAGAATTACATGGTCGAGTAGAAGATTCTTATAAGGTAATCCCTTGGATGTGTGAGAGATTAATGGAAACTAATCGTGATACAGTTGCAAGATGGGAAGGCTCAGATAGCAACCGATTTAAGAGGCTCTTCATTGCATATGGATGCTCAGTTAAAGGCTTTGTGCAAGGTTGTAGACCAATTATTTATATAGATGGATGTCATTTGAGTGGTCCTTACAAAGGAACTTTATTATCTGCTTGTGCATTTGATGCAGAAAATGAGTTGTTTACCTTAGCATATGGTATTGTTAGAGGAGAAACAATGGATGAGTAGACTTGGTTTCTACAGAATTTGAAGGAGATAACCAGATCAGCACAAGTGACAATTGTCTCAGATCGGAGTAATGCTATCATCGGTGCTGTTAGGACAGTATTTGATGGTGAGAGACATGCTTTTTGCTATCCACATGTGAAAGAAAATTATAGTGCGCAGTATGTGAAAATCAATAGAGGTGTGAGACGAACCTCAAATAACAAGGAGAACGCACTTAATTTACTTGATGGAATTGCATATGCAAGGTATGACAATGAGTTTAATGTTGCAATGGGAAATTTAAGATTGTTTTGTCCACAATTGCCACAATGGGTTGAATCTGATGGGGATGTGGGTAGATGGGCACAAAGTAAATTCCCTTTTAAGAGATGGGATAACATCACCAATAATCTTGCTGAGTCTTTTAATGCATGGATGTTGAAAGAAAGGAAGCATGCCTTGCCGGTTTTGATACAAGAGCATCAAGAGAAGTTGGCCAAGAAGATGGTTGCTAGCAAAATGGGGATGAGAAGCTGGAAAAATGGTATAGGACCTAATATTGAATCAAAGTTGTCAGAACAAATAGCAAGATGTGCGTATATGGAGGCAACATATTATGGTGATGACCATATTTCGGTGCAAACAATGCGTGAGGGACGCATCATCTATGTGGCTGTTGATCTTATTTCTCATAGATGCACATGTTTGGCATGGCAAATGAGTGGAATACCTTATCCACATGCATGTGCGGAAATCAAGCTAGTTCACCGTAGCGTGTATGATTATATAGATGACTGTTATAAATTGTCCACACAGGAGAAAATATATGAAAATAGCATGAGGCCAATTGCAACGCATGATTGCCCACAGCCGGATGCACCTACTGTGACTCATATGCTAACTCAAACATTCTTACATCCACCCATAACTAGAAGGCCTCCAGGAAGGCCAAGGATTAATAGAATAGAATTTCAGTTTCAAAATAAGAAGGTTTATCATTGTGGAAGATGCAAAGAGCCTGGACACACTGCCAAGACATGCAAGAACCCAAATCCCATCTGAGAACATAATGAAATCATCTATTTTTTGTATATGAATGTGAAGGGAATATTTTGTAAATGGGTGTGAAGGGAATTTTTTGTAAATGGATACACACCAATAGTTAGTTTCTCGTAATTACATGCAACCCTGTGTTTTTTTGGGATGGGTTGTGAATTAGGTGTAGTTTCATGTATATGAAGGTGTAAATGAAAGTTGACTATGAATCGGCATGTTAGATTCTGCTGTCATTTAAGTTATCATTACCTGCACCTTGTATTGTCATTAGACCTGTTATGACTTGTCAACGGAGCACTGTCACTTGTCAATTAATTTGCTGATGTAAGTTGTCAACAATATGAATTCAAGTTACATAACTTGTTTTAGTAACATATGATATTTTCAATCACTATGTCATATTATATTTTTGGTTATATTGTCATATATAATCATTATTAATGAAATGTCAATGGTAGCACTGAGACTTGTCAATGGTGGCATAGTGACTTGTCAATCATGGCACTAAGACTTGTCAATGGTGGCACTGTGACTTGTCAATGGTGGCACACTGACTTGTAAATGGTGGCACACTGACTTGTCGTTGGTGGCACTATGACTTGTCAATGATGGCACACGGACTTGTTATTGGTGGCAATGTGACTTATCAATGGTGGCACTATGACTTGGCAATGGTGGCACACTGACTTGTCGTTGGTTGCACTATGACTTGTCAATGGTGGCACACGGACTTGTCAATGGTGGCACTGTGACTTGTCAATTGTGGCACTGTGACTTGTCAATAGTAGCACACTGACTTGTCATTGGTGGCACCGTGACTTGTCAATGGTAGCACACTGACTTGTCATTGGTGGCACTAAGACTTGTTAATGGTGGCACTGTGACTTGTCAATGGTGGCACACTGACTTGTCAATGGTGGCACACTGACTTGTCGTTGGTGGCACTATGACTTGTCAATGGTGGCACACAGACTTGTCAATTGTGGCACTGTGACTTGGCAATGGTGGCACTATAACTTGTCAATGGTGGCACTATGACTTGTCGTTGGTTGCAATATGACTTGTCAATGGTGGCACTGTGACTTGTCAATTGTGGCACTGTGACTTGTCAATGGTAGCACACTGACTTGTCATTGGTGGCACCGTGACTTGTCAATGGTAGCACACTGACTTGTCATTGGTGGCACCGTGACTTATCAATGATAGCACACTGACTTGTCATTGGTGGCACTAAGACTTGTCAATGGTGGCACTGTGACTTGTCAATGGTGGCACACTGACTTGTCGTTGGTAGCACTATGACTTGTCAATAGTGGCACACGGACTTGTCATTGGTGGCAATGTGACTTGTCAATTGTGGCACTATGACTTGGCAATGGTGGCACTGTGACTTGTCAATGGTAGCACACTGACTTGTCGTTGGCGGCACTATGGCTTGTCAATGGTGTCATACGGACTTGTCATTGGTGGCAATGTGACTTGTCAATGGTTACATAACTTGTTATATCACTTGTCATTAACTCATGTTATATTACTTATTAATATTACATAAATTTATCGATATCAATAAAGATATAAAATAACAAAAATAAAAATGTGACTTGTGCCCAAGAAATTGGTATCATAACATCTAATAACAAAGGTAATAATATTATAAACATAATTTGATCAGTTTGTTACAAAAGGACCTATTGACCATTAAGCTATTGCCACTCATGGCTTACACCCTTAGGTGCCAATCATCTCACAACACATCCTGGCATAACATAACAAAAAATTAATTGACTCCTCTATCTCCTCCTCTTGCTCTTGTTATAGTCTGATAGCATTGACATCACTTCATCCCTATGTTCATTATGTGGATGGGTAACCAACCACCACAAACAGCCAACCTTCAACTCTTGCAATTCATCATTGGAGTATCGTGGCATGGTATATCCTGCAGCATCACGAGCAGTGCCATCCCACTCTTGTAGCCAAGATAGGACATGAACTCCACATGAATCACTGCCAAGCAAATTCAATATGTAAGCAGCATGCAATTTTTATTGTGAACAAACACAACATAACACAATCAAACAGAACAACTACACTTACGTATCATTCTGCACATAAACTTTAGCCCATTTCACTTCGTTGTCAATTTTCTCCTCATTGGCAAACAATTCTGGCTTAACAGCACGCAACATCGTATGGAAACAGTTCATCTAGAAAAAAATACACATAATCAAAAGGCTTTACTAACAACACAGCATCCAGTGACAAGGGACATAGCTTATAGTGACAAGTAATATAGCATCCAGTGACAAGGGATCCAGTAACAAGGGACAGAGCATCCAGTGACAAAAAACAGCATCCACGAACAACTAACAGAGCATCCAGTGACAAGTAACAGATCATCCAGTGACAACTAACACAGCATCCAGTGACAACTAACATAGCATCCAGTGACAACTAACACAGCATCCACTAACAACTAACAGAGCATCCACTAACAACTAACAAAGCATGCAATGACAACTAACAAAGCATCCAGTAACAACTAACAGAGCATGCAATGACAACTACGCAGGCTGCTAGTGACAACTATAAGAGTAGTCATCGACAAGTATAACAGCAACAAATAATTACACACAGTCTGTGCTGCCATAAAGTGTTTGGGATTGAAGTGACCTTTATTTGTCCTCTTTTTCTTCTTCGCATCATGTTGTTGCTCACCCCCCTTCTTCTTTGCTTCTTCTTCCTCTGCTTGTAGTCTCATAAACGTGATGCTATCAACCAAGGAGTCAAGGGCGTAAAAGGTCATGGTCTTTATCTCCAAAACATAACAAAACCAATGATATTCAAATAACGTAGGGCCGAAAAGGAAATCGCAATCCCCTATATTGTACCCAATATATTTAGGTAATATTTCCCTTTCATGGTCCTCCCATTTCCATCTTAAAGGATTGGCTACCATCTTTTGCATGAAATCCGCAGAAAATATATGCCGGTTCACTCTCTCCTCTTTATCCTTTTGATCTCCAACAAACGTATTTGCCACCATAGTCATAAACTGAAATTACAATACAAAGAAATTACAACTCTTTACCATCAAATAACTCATTCTAATGTTAACTATATACATGTGACTTACCCTGTCGTTAATCCATCTTCTACGTTGGAGACATTGCAGCTCACCACGGGTTAGGAAGTATCCATACATCGATACAAAGTATCTAATGCAAATAAAACAATTATGAAGTCAGTAAATTCTGCAACATAATATAAATTTGGACACCAAAACATAATACTTACTGCTTTTGCCCCTCTTCATCACACCTAGCTGTACACATGTCAAATAAAGCTTGCCTGTCATCAATTGTTCTCTTGTTCCCAGGCTTACTTTTGATTTCCAGAAATGGAGACCTAAGAGCCTTACCCTTACTTATCACCCTTGTTGATTTTCTCACATATGTTTTCCCTTCCCTTTGGTTGTCCTCTTCATCCCCTTGTTCTTTTCTATTTCCTTCTTCATCATCTTTGTCCTCTTCAGCCTCTTCTCTTTTATTTTCTTCATCTTCTTTGTCCTCTTCTTGCTCTTTCTCCTCCTCATCCTCTTCTTCTCTTTTGTTTTCTTCTCCACCCATATCCTTCTCAAATCGAATTTTTTGTTCTTCTTCTTGATTTTTATCATCTTCCGATTCAATTCCATCCTCTTCAGTTTCCTCTTCCTCTGACTCAGGTTCTTCCTCCTCATCTTTCTCCTCTTCACTTACATTATCACTGTCCTTCATTAGTCTTGACTGAAGGGACATCATTTCTTCTCCCAGCATTGACACTAATCGGGCATATGTTCTCTTGATCTCCTACATAAATTAAATTCAGAACTTCAATCTCTAAGCAACAGCAAAAAAAAAAAAAAGTTCCATTAAGCCTCCAAGTCCACATACCGAGTGAGTTAAATTTTCTGGATCAAAACTGGTGGCTTGACTAGCTGGATGCAATAATCCTTGATCACTCTCCTTCTCCATGTTAACTCTTTCCTGCACTTTCTTTTCATCCCAAAATGCAAGAGCATGCTTAACATGTGAAGCTTTTGTTTCCCCCAATGGAAACTTTTGTAGACAATATATCTGCATGTGACATGAATGATAAGTTAACAGCAGCCATTGACAACATTCAGACCATAAAATGACAATAGAAATATACAAATTATAATAGCACTTACTTGTAGGAAGTATAGACAGCCTAGAATATTCTTCTTCTTCTCAATCAACTTGCCTTTTTCCAATTGTTTCTTGTACACTCCAATGCCCTTATATAGTTCATTCAACACATAAGATGACCAATCAAACTTACCCAATCTATCCTTTGTTGATAATATTACCTTCAACAAATAATCACTAACACAAATACTTGCATTAGGACACAACAACGTTCCCAATACATACATCACAAACAGCATCTCAAAATTTTCATCTTGTTTCTCCTCGGTCAACAATGAAGCTATCTTCTTGTATGGAATATTGCCATACACAGTCCTCCATTGCTTGAACACTTCATCTTCACTACTCACAGCTGCTTTAATCTCTTCCCCCTCAAATGGTAGCCCCATAAAGTCATGCACATCATTTGCCCCCATTTTCCTTCTCTTCCCTCTTATGGAAATGTTTTTTGTTGGAAGGTCGAATGCACACATAAACTCTCCACACAATTCTCTCTGAATTGTGTGGCAACATAATTCAACCAACTTGTCAAAACCTATCTTTTTTAGCCTATCCATCAGGTCCTTCCTTTCTTTGACATGCTTGCAAACTTGTACAAATTGTTTAGGTGCACATCTTGTGTAGAAAGGAACTATATACTTCTTAGACTTTGTAGGAGCTCTTTGTTCCCTAGCCCTTTGACAATATTCCTCTTTTTGCTTTTTAGATAATTTATCCCAGGCCTTCCTCACATGTGGATTCCCTGATTCAAGGGATTTGTACTTTTTCGGGGTTTTTTTATAGAATTCCTCTGTGAACAAGGCATAACCAGAAAAATTAGAGCTCCTTTGTCCACTTGCATTGCTTCCATCCTTCCCCATTTTCTTAACCTGCCAAAAAAAAGGCAAATTATGACTAATTCTGGATGATATAGAAGGCAAGTCAAAAATGAAATAATTTAATAAATACATATATTACGTACATGGCACACCAAGATTTAAAGAAGAGGGAAAAAGACAATAGCATCAGATAACTTGCCCAATACAGCAGCTCCCAACTCTGTCTTGATTATTATCTAAGTTGGTTTCTTTACTACATCAAGCTCAATGTACTTAGTAATTTCTAAAAAAAGGAATTCTGATTAATAGCATTCAGTAATGGGAAACAACGCAATCTGGGAGATTACTAGGAGCCAAATAACTCAGCAGAAGGGGAAGAATACCAAGTTGGTAAAGGTTTCCAAATGGAAAAGCACTTCTACTGTCCGTGCCACTTTCAAAATTGCGTTGAAGAAGCATACTGTATCAAAAGTATTAAAAAGTTCTTCTACTGTTAACACTGGTTCGAGAAAACTATCCAAACCATTAAAATCAGCAAAGGCAGGAGGGATACACGTTAAAAAATCTGTAAGATCTTCCAATGCATGTCATCACGCTGTACAAAACTATCAATTATGTGCAAGTTTCTTTTTTAATCATATTTTTGCTCAATGCATCTTCTCCAAATCCATTTCGTTTTGCTATTTTATCTCTTTGTACTTCATGTTGTCACCAAACTGACTTAAATTACTACATTTATGATTTTATCCACGCTCAACGCACTACTCATTCCCTCATTAGTATTCGGTAATGGGAATTGCAATTGGATTATACTTTAAACAACAAACTGGCAGCAGAGAATGAAAGGGAAAAATGCTGGAAAAACAAACCATGATTCGTAATCTCTGCCTCCGTCGTTCAACGAATTTATGTTCCAAGAAATCAGCCTCTCAGCCTCCATTGTTCAATCAAATTTCGTTCCCAGAAATCAGTGTCTTTGCCTCGGTCGTTCAGTCCCTTTTCCTTCCCAGAAATCAGCGTCTCCTCTCCGTCGTTCAGTTGTTTTTTGTTCCCAAAAATCACCGCCTCTGCCCCGCCGTTCAGTGACTTTCCATTCCCGATCAATCAGTGTCTCTGCCTCGGTCATTCAATGACTTTCCATTCTCAGAAAATAGCATCTCTGCCTTTGTCGTTCAGCTACCTCTGTTCTCAGAAATTGCCGTCTCTGCCTCCGTCGTTCAGCGCCCTCTATTCCCAGAACTCGACTTCTCTGCTTCTGTCGTTCAAAACTCGCCTCGTCTCACTCCGTCGTTCAATGCCCTCTGTTCCCAGAACTCGACTTCTCTGTTTGTGTCCTTCAAAACTCGCCTCCTCTCACTTCGTCGTTCACAGCACTTAGGTCTCCACAGCTTTTCTCCCTTCAACGCTGCGTTTTCCAACTTCTCCAACATAGCCGGCCGTGTGTGGGCTTCCAACCGGATGGCTCCAACAGATTTTAGTTTAGGGGCAAGAGAGTAATTTGTGGATTATTAAAATTGCATCTAAGTCCCTTTGGGACTTCAGAAAAATTATGACATTTCAGGGGACCTTTTTGCTGTATTTTGGCTTCTGTGGGACCTTAATGTCATTCTCCCTTTTAAAAATGGTAACCGAAAAAACACAGGCTATCGTCTTTTGTCTGATTGTAAAAGACATGCCTACAATAGCAAGGATGGAATGTATAGGAGTGCACACGTGAAATACAATTAGGATATTTATGAAGGGCTTGCGGGCAAACAACATCTTGTCTGGGTGGTGTAGTTGGTTATCACGCTAGTCTCACACACTAGAGGTCCCCGGTTCGAACCCGGGCTCAGACAAGTTTACCTATGTTTGTAGTTTTGTTGTCTGGCTAAATCCCACAAGTCCCCCAAAAAAGGTTTTCTCAAAAAATTATATATATATATATTAATTCATATAATTGTAAATAGATATCTTAGTTATGAACTAAATTCTACATTTAAAATTTAAATACTTGATTTGCAATAGTCAAGTTTCCTGCAAAAATTTTTAATAAATATTTATAAATATTGATTCAAGAAGTTATAAATGGTACCGCAGTTATTAATAAAGTCTTACATCTGAAACTTAGTACTCGTTTTATAATTGAGACTTTAGGATTCACGATAGTTTGAATTAATATTTGTAGTTCATTTTGCAGAAAATTTTGTAAGACGACTACCTGTCATATTAAACTGACAATTTCTGGACCTAATAAGAATCATGTTCCCTCAAAAATTAAAGTGTTTCTTTTCTCTTATATATGAAGATTTTAATTTGGAATTTTTTAATTCTACTTTTTTTAAGAAAAAATATTATGTCTACTAACAAAGCCTGTTTTTAATTTTATCTCAAAAGACACTTGTCGGGTTTGATATATACTGCGACAAAACCATCCCTCCTCATGAGAAATGTCACAAATTCAAACCTGTGCAATTTCATATTTTCACGACAACAACTACCAAATATATACTACTCCTAGCTAGCCTCTAATATAAGAGCTTGGAAATATTTAAAAAATGAGTTAAATTAGTTATTTGTAAGAAAATAGAGGTTATTTTTTTAAAAATATCTTATTAATCATGTACATCGAAACTAATACCTCTTGATGAAACTACTTAATATATGTAATCATCATAAAGATTACTCGAGGGCAAAATAAATAAATATTATAGATAAAGTAAATTGAGATATTATATTTAGAATCAAATTGAATATCTAATTAACTCTTGTATTAAAGAATTTATCTTCATAATCATATGTAATCCAGCTAACCACCCTGCTTAGCTTGAACTTCTGTATACTTTATGAAATCTAAAATAAGTCATATTACATTTGTATCGTCAATAATTTTTATGAATATATTGATATTCATTATTATCTCAAAATTTCTAAACACAAAAATCACACATTGACATACTTTCTTTAGCATTGCATGTACGTCTATACACAGTGGACACTTTTTACTTTTTGTTTCGAAAGGTCTTTTACGTTCTTTTTATAAGAACATTAAAAAAAAAAAGGGTTTTCACATCTGTTTTGAACATACGTAAAAAAGAAAAAAATAATAATAAAGGAGATTTTTACTCTTGAAAACAGACTTAAAAACACTCACGTATTTTATTTATATGAATATGAATGATGCAATTATTTTCGGAAACAAATTAATTAATAGTAAAACATCATGATTACATATAACAATTAGTGACCAACTGATATTCTTCTTCATACTTGTACGGCGTAGAGAATGGATCAGGTTATTGCGTAGGCAGTGACATGGAGAGGAGGCTTATCTCTCCACAAGCGTATAGATTAGGAAAGAAGATTACATACATTATACCCACATGCGTTAAACTAAATTAAACACCAAAAAACTATATACTACCTCCGGTCCTTAATATAAAAACTCGTTTGAATTTTATTTTGGTTATAAATATAAGCTCCCAATCTATTTTAACTCTCATATTTATTCATTTTTTTCAAAATAGTTTTTATAATAATAGTAGTTCTACCTAATAACCTTGATTAGCAAGGATATTTTAGAAAAGACAACACATATTTATTACCAATAACTAATTTAACTAATTTTTTTGACCTATTCAAATTAGTCAACTAACTGTTATATTAACGACTGAAGGCAGCACATATTTATATTATTTTATCTTATTTTATTCACTCTCTCTAGTCAAACTTTTGACCAAGCAAAAATTAGATAAGTGTTCCACACCCTCCTCGACCACGTTGACCAATATTCCACATGTCCATTTTATCATACTCCAAACTTATTTTAATAAAATCTGATATGTATATAGACATTATTTTGTCCATGATGATAACAATTAATATCGTTAAATTTTAGAAAAATTTAAAATAATTGCTGGACCATACGTTGGCTATTCCTCTCATTAGTCCATTGACCATTACACTAAATCTATCCACACACCCTATAAAATATAAATAATATAAATAATGATATCAGAATTAGAGAACCGAAAATATACTTTTTAAAAATTAAAAAGATTAATTAAAATTCTATGTAAAGTGAGAGGATCTATTTTTACCAACTAAATAATAATTGAGGAGTTAGGGTCTATCCATATGGTCTGGCAAACCCAAAAAAAAAAAAAAAAGCTACACAAACAAAATTCAAATCAATCTTAAGAAACAAATTTTCTATATAAGGGGGTAGGTGAATGAACCTAATCATGCAATTTGTGGAAGCACGCGGCGATCAGACGTCGTTACCCTATAGTTTCTAGTATTTCTGTGTGCCAATATTCTCATTCGCTTTATATTTCATTTCTATATATACTCCTTCACTTGTGATTTCTTGCTATCCCTTCCAATCATCTCGCAACATATATTGGCTTCTTCTTCAAACCCATTTTCGATCATCACCATTCTCATTTCGTTCACAGAGCTTCATCAATCACAATGTCCTCCGATCTCTCCGTTATTCTACCTCGTGTTCTCATCGTCTCCCGACGAAGCGTTCGCAAGAACAAGTTCGTCGATTTCGTTGGTCAGTTTTCTTCATTAAATTTTTCAATCTTGCATGTCGCAGATGTTAGATCTATGAT